TTTTTAATATTTTATAAAATATCTTCATCTAGAAATCTTCCTTTATGAAATCCAATTTTCAAGAATTTTTTAAGCTTATTTGTACTCCTTAAGGTTGTTTTTTTATTTTATCTTACTTTTAAAATATTTTTTATTTTTAAAATTTTTCTTATTTTTTTCAATTTATTGAGGGCTTTTATCGCATTTGATTTTAGTCGAGCGATTTAGGCCTCGGCGAACTCTAGGTTTTAAACTAAAAAGTAGAAAAAGAGGGAGCATATGAGATACTATAAAGTATTGCTGAGTTTAAATGTCCTTTGAGACTAAAATGCACTATATTATTGACATGTCACTCACTCAGTACAGTACTTGTTAGGAGGTGCAAGTTCATTCAAGTGGAAGGTATAAAAATAACAAGGGGTAGATCCAAAAGGATATGGTTAAAAGTAGTAAGGAAATATATGGGGGCTTTTTTGGCTTCGTTAAAGGTATGACTTTTAATAAAGCAGAATAACATATCAGAGTTCGTGTAGCTGACCCAAATCAATTAAAAAATGGCTTTGACAATGTTGTTGACATGCCACATACAATAATAAGATATAATTTTCGACAATTAACTCAGAATCGCTTAAGTCGCCTCGGAACTCGAGGAATACCAGGGTAGTTCTCTATTGAACTCAAGCAAATCGTCTAGTACACCCCTTCTGATGTGAAAAAGGGTTACAAGAAAAAGTTTTAATTTTTTATTTTTTTTGACTGGGAATTCATATCTAAGCTGCATTTTGATCGCTTTGAACTCGTATCTATCTATCTTGGCCCTAGAAAATCATTATTTTGATTAAAATTTTATACTCGGGTAGGATTTTCTCAAAAAAGTGTCATCATTTATTAGTCCTGAAACCTAATTTGTCATTCTTGCAAACTCTCACTGATTTCTCAACTGCATCGTCTAAAATTTGATTAAGTATGTTGGTATCTAACTTATGCCTATTTAAAAAGCAAATTGACCCAATTTTGAGATTTTTTTAACTTGAAATAAAAAATTTACAGTTTCTCTCTCATTTCTTCACCAAATTTATTTAAAAAACATCCCAAAATATTCCTAACACATTGACCTAAACCCCTAATGAAGTTTTTTGAATCAAAACCAATAATCTATATGATCATTTTGTCTTTTGATTTTTGATTTGATTTCCTCTTATCTAAAATCACATATTTGGTTTATAATATTTGTTATTATATAAGGAAAATTTCGTATAGGCCCCTAATTCTTCATCTTATTTCATGGTAGACCTTCATTCTGTTTTCTTTCAAGCAGCATAAGGAAATCTTTAAGAATTTCACTGTACCCCTCATCTCTTATTTCCTTATTTTATTGACTTTTTTACTACAAAAATTAGCCCCAACAAATCTTTTATTACTATTTAACTT